TGGTGAGGATATACAAGTCAAAAGCAGCTGGAAGTGTGAAAGTTTGTGTTTGGCGGTTGGCAAAGAAAAGGGACCAGGAACAGAGATCAGAAGACAACCCAACATGCCAGTGCGGCTGATGTGCAGTCCCAACTATCTCCATTTAATGTATTCTTCAATTGTACCCATGGCCAACAGACAACTATCAGTGTGAACAATGATTCGATGAATTTAACGTTTTATAGAATTAGAGCATTGAATTTTGGTACTGTAAAAAAAAAAACGTCTTCGTTTCCAATTTAAAATGGTTAAAATATCAATATGGTTTTCAACTTTTAAATTTAATCTAAATTGTCCTCAAACTTTAGATAGTACCAAAATTATCTCTAAACTAAACTTTAATTTTTAGTACAAAGTCTCTAACTTTAATTTAATACCAATTTGATCCCTAAACTTTGAAAACAAGTAAGAATTAGTCCTTCAGCTTTAATCAAAAGTACCAATTTTGTCAATTAACTTTGATTACATGTCAATTTAATATATAAATAAAAATATGTTATGAAAATAAAATATAATTATTTAATTTTACATGTCATTAATATTTTAAAAAAGAATTGATTATGTGAAAAGATAATGGATCATGTGATATTTGTCAATAAAAAGACTTTTAGTATAAAAAATTAAAGTTCATGAATAATTTTAATATTTTTAAAATTTTTAAAATAATTTTGATATAAATCTAACAGTTAAAAGATCAAATTGATATTTTAACTTTTCAAATTTTACGTTCAACTCAGAATCAATGTGAATGTTGTGTACGATATTCCACATAGGGTTAGAGAGGCTTGTAACCTTATCCTATCATGAACAAAACAGAGCGAGAACGAGAGATCCAAATCAATTTATGTTGATGGTATGCATGGTTATGTAAATATCTCAACCATTTATATCTCTATTCTTAATATTTAAAATTTATTATAATTTTTTAAATAAGAAAGAAGAATTACATTTAATATAAATAAAATTTTACCATTAAAAATAAAAAATAATAATAATTAAAATTTTATATAAATATAATATATAAAGTTTATACACAAATAGATCTATACTTATGTAAATAATATTATCAACGAATTGCTGAAAAAAAAAATATTATAAACGATTCTTGAAAACCAGGTACAAATACAATGGCCAGATACAAATACAACAATGTATTCGTCCAAAATTCTCACCTCCTAGTAAATCTTTGTCCTGCTCCAAGTAACAATGCCTCGCCAATGACACCTGAACGAAGTCCAAAAACCAGTGCCGCTGCTCCTCCTGCAACAATCCATCTCCAATCAACACCGTGATCCTTCTGTCTTTTGATATCTGTAACCTGGTCACCATGTTGGTCAGAAACCGGCTCCAAATAATCTGTGCTTCCTTCAAAAGATGTTTTCATGGTGATACGTCAGATGAGAGCACATCTGGACAAGGAAGTGTCTAATTTTCTGGCATTCTGGTATGCTCTCATGCCAGAGTGCAGCTTCTTTACGGCACCCCACATTCCATGACGAACACCCAACTTTGCCACATCTTTGGGGATTCCCATGTCTTCATAATGGACTAGAGTAACCTCACATGCTGATAGCTGCCCATCTCCTCTCCGGGACTCCACTGCATCATACAAATTAAATTATAAAAAGATGCACCTAAAGGTTGAAACTAGAAACATCCAGAATACCGCCTAAATAGAAGGGCTAAAGGACAAGCTTACCAGCCCTGATAACCCAACTGGAAAAGTAAAGCTCCACACGCCTTGGCTTGTCATGCTTATTTAAACCTGGATATGGGACACCCTGCAACAACGGTAGATTGAATATTAATAACCATCAACAAAATTTCGAAAATATGCTATACTAGATGTATTTAACATTCATCACCTCCACCCCCCAACTCCTTTGAAATCCCATATAAAGTGACAATTGGTCATTCTACAGCAAAGAGACAGAATGAAGGGGGGATGTCTACCTTACAAGAATCTCTGAGGCCAAGAAATTAATAATTCAAAAAATTATTATTCAGCGAAGAAGGTGGACAATGGTCAATCACCTAACAATCATGAACCAGAATACACTAATCCATATGTATTTGCTTAGTATTAAAAAACAATCTCCTCTCCTGAAACTCTAACAAACTATTTTCTCGCGTCTTACCTATTTTCCCTCTTTTCCTATCACGATGATAATGCTTAGTCCAGAAAAAAATAATTGTAATAAAAAGCCCCTGGAGACCGGATTTTCAGCTCAAAAATAAATGAGTCTCATTCAGTACCTTTGTCACACAATAATATCTCTTCCCAGCCTCCCAAATTCTTTGGTCAATTATATATTCTCTATCACTACAGAAAAAAGGGAACTGCGCAGAGGCAAAGAAATAAAAATAAAAATCAAGGCATAAATTTATATGTTTTCTAGAAAGAAATGGCATAAAACACCAAAGCATACAGAAACACAAATAATGCAGAATTTCAGCAACCTTTTTTATCCAGTGAACAATTGTTGTGCCTGTATTGGGATGCTCCTCCAATATTCTGCAGTATGCAAGCATGGGATCTCACTTTGGTCGAAATTCATAGTCCCAGAAGAAATCCCTGACGACCTCAGGAGTTGCATCCTCAAAGACAGTCCTGCTACGGTAAACTGCAGGGTCAATTAGTAAACAAAATTACTAAGGAAAATCCTTTCATAGTGGGTCTATCAGACTTTTCTTTCAAATTAAGTAAACAGTGAATTTTAAATCTTCTATAAGTGAAAATACTCCAACTAAACTAAATTCTTCATTAGTGTAATAGAATTTTTTGGAAGGTCCATAATACCCTTTTCGGACAAATGATTAAAATATTAAGTACTCATTAATTCGAATTAAATAAAAAACAATGTTGAAACTCTATCTCTTTTCTTTTATTATTCTGGTTAATGAGTTTTATTTTAATAGCTAAACCTAATTCAAATTCAATTTTGATTACCAAAAATTTGAATTTTTTTTTAATACAGTTCATTCAATTAATAAATTTCTTTCAATCTTTTTAAGCAAAAAAAATCTTTTATCATTAACCAATGTGAAATATTTAAATTAATTAAAATTTAAATGAATTAATTAAAAAAATTATTTTAAATATTGAATAATTTGGAATTAAACAAAATATTTTTGCCTCTAATGATGAACAAAGTATTGAGAAAAATGTGTAGAGAGTGTTTTGATTGTTATTTTTTAATTTTATGGTAATTTATTTGACTAATATTAATAAAAATTTAATATTTTAACTATTACATCTAAAAAGGGTATTATAGACATCATAAAAATTCTTGATACACTTATAATGAATTTTGTTAGAGCATGTTCACTTATATAAGATTTCAAATTAAGCTTTCACTAAATAATGAAGAAAAATCTGCTGGATGTACCAGAAAGGAATTTTCCCAAATTACTATCAGATTAGAGTGCCGGTTATGGTCCATATGGCATAAGGTAAAATGCAATTAATGATTACAAAATGAAAAACCAAATCATAAAGACAACAAGAAAAGGGCCACATAAACCATTATGCACTTGGCATCTTTGAACCTAACAACCAGCCATATAAAAAATAAAATGATAAAATGGAAACAACCCATAAGGCTCAGACTTTGGTAGAGGCATCAAACATGCACCAAATTTTAACAAGAATAGATGCCATTTTCATCATCTTTTTCCCAGCAAGTGAACTTTATGATAAAATGACAGCCAGAGTATGAGAACACAATATGTAAGAATAAACTAAGTTGATATGGACAGGGACCAAGTACACACCCACACACAAATTCTTCATGGGTACTTTTGCCAAGGTGGGATTCCAGAGAATGTCCATGTAACAAAATGAAAGTCAAAGACCTACCTCAGGCTCATGCTGCCAAGCTTGGTATGCCATATTTGGGCTAGACCTTTCCATCATACTTTGCCAATCCATCTCTCCATCTTTCCCTTCAAGTAGATGCAAGTATGCAACAGGTGCTGAAAATCACATTCTGTGACAATCTCCTGCTCTCTCCCATCAGCTATGGTGCTGGTACCATGTAAAATGGTGACAATTATAAATCAATTCGTGCACGACATACTAATGACTAATGAGCAAGGTAAAACATGCTATAAGCACGTAAGATTTTCCTCTCCTCATGTGCAAAGAAAGTCTATTTCTGGTGTGAGGGGCAATCAATAACTCCATTATATGAATATTGGGCATTAAATGTTAACTAAGCAATGCTGCTTGCTAAAAATTAAAACATGTATACAACCATCATCATAATATTTGAAAAAACTTGCAAAAAATGATATCTTTGTCCATTTAAATCATCAATCAACACAAAAGAAACCATCAGTTGCTTCAGCAGTTGCTTTAACCAGCCAAGCCCAGTTCATCAATATTCCTATATCAGAGAAACAACAAATCCCTATTTAAGCTGTCCTTAGAAGGGGAGCTTAAAATGCAACACAATTCCCTCAATAGCTTACGAATAAGGATATCCAAAATGACAAATACATAATCGAAAATCAAAAAGCATACCTTGTATAACCATTTAAATTTCAAATATTTCAGGAAGGACCAAAATCTAGTCATCTATCTACATCCTAACAAGTGCCATTGTGACAACAAGGTGTAATCCCAAAACTATATTGCGGCACTGAGACTAAATCCACTTGCTTTTTTTCCCATGCATAATATGCTCTTATAAGAAAGTATACAAAATTACTGTAATACTAACCTGACAGCTTCAGAAGCCCCTTCCGACAAACTTCTAGCCAGAGGTGACGGCGGCCGCAATTGACCAGCCGAAGACGAAGTCACAGCGGTCGATTTCTTGCCTCTCTCTTTAAAATTAGACCGAATGGTACGACATACAGAGAAGGCCGAGAGAGTCGTAAAGGCAAGCCAGAGCCGGCGAGCCCCGAACCCAGGCGGCGCCGTCCAGATGAATCGGAACTTGGAGCGGAGGCCTAGAAAGACCAAGCTGGTCCACCGAGGACGCCATGACCAGCCGATGACGAGGCCAATCATGACAGCGAGCCTTATCGGCACTGCACAGACCAAAATGTCGATAAATGGTTCGGTTATGGTGGGTTTCTTCCAGAACTCGGAGATCAAAGAACGTCTCGTCCATTTCTCCGGCGAGGGGACGAGATCACCGGATCAAGTTCTTGACATCGGCGATAAAATGGCGAACGACTTCGGTAATGGTCCTCAAGAAATCGAACGACATGGATCCCTACCTGCCTCTATGATGCATTCACGAGGTCTCATTTCCTGTTTGTAAAACAAAAACGTGTTCATAATTTAAGGTCAGTGCGAATTTAGTTATGAGTCTAGAAGAAAAATGGCTTTAATTTATATTTAAAATTTAAA